GTCAAGAGGGCAACTATCACCCACCAAGCCACCTAGGATGATGGGGCTTTGGAGACCACAGATCCTTCCAGAGGCAGACTTCAGCGTTCTCCCAAGGAGTGGCTGGTGGATTCGAACCGGTGACCTTACAGACAGTCAGCAGCCTTGCTCTTCAGCCACTGTGCCACCAGTACTCATTCGGTTTCCAAGACTGTAGCTCTTTATGGGCTCAAGCAGCCTCCTCTTTCTCCCGAGGAGTAATGGGTGGGTTTGAACAGCAGCCCTTAGGGCTAGCTGCCCCAGCCTCACCCGCAGCACTACTCGGAGTGCTTGAGAGCCAGCCCTCTCCAAAACAGGGATGGAGGCTTGTTGAGAGTCCTCCCAACATCCAGCTTCAGCCTCGGGAATTAGCTGAAACCCACCCTCATCCAGGCTCCTAGCACCCCCGAGGACAGACTACGATGGTTTCTTGGGGTCCCCAGACTGCACATCTCTATGGGAGAAGACAGCCTCATCTTTCTCCTTGGGATTGGCTGGTGGTCTTTTGGGTCAGCTAGTCCAGCGTTCCACCACCTTCTCTAAATAGCCCAAGGCCCAACCCCGGGGATGAGCCGAGCTGGAGACTGGACAGCAGGGCCCGTGTGGCTGCGCCAGCAGGCTCAGGCTGTGTGCTGTAAATGGCCCAGCAGATACTTTATGACTTGCTTTAGATAGAAGGATGAGGTGAGCCAGCAGGTAATTCACTCGCTGCAAATGAAAAGAGATGGGCTGTAGGCCGAGTGGGCTCATTATTCTTCCAAATACTGCAGAGAACGGGAGTTTTCACTTGATACTCTAACAAAGTCTGCGCTCTCTGCAAAGCAGACAGGACCGTTCTGCCACAGAGAGCCCCCCTTTGCTCCCCAGATCTGGGACGGATCCCTCCCTGCCCCAGCCTTGGAAGCACTCACAGGGGTGAGGACGACCTGACCCTCTGACACTGCCCTCCAAACCAGGAGAGCTGCCCGGCACTGGCGTCCAAGGGCGCTGCCCAGGAAGAGAGTTTCGTGGGGGCTGCAGGCGCCCAGCCACCTTTGCATTTAATGACTTCCCAGCCTCCCGTCGCTAACCAATTCAATTAGATCCTTTTAAAGAAATCAATTAAATAATCAATTAAAGCAAGGGACATAGTCCTGGGCACACAGAGGAGCTGGTGAGAGGCTTCTTAAAAGCAGGCCATCAGGGCAGGGAGTGACCTATTTTGGGAAAGGGAATTGAAAGTCAGCAGGGGAAGGCATCAGGCACTACCCTGAGGGGATATTAAAAAAAACCAAACACCCAAAACCTGCTTCCGCATCTTCCTGGTGCTATTAGGCATTGGACTGTGAACGACAAGGCCAGCAGTTGGAAACCAACAGCCGCATCAGGGAGAAAGATTGAGGCTTTCTACTCCCACCGAGGGTTACAGGCTCGGAAAACAACCCACAGAGGCAGTTCTACCCTGTCCCGTAGTGCCTCTGGGCATCAGAATGGACTCAACAACAGTGAATTTTAGTGGAAATGCCCCGAAGTTTGTGAATGAGGGGGAGTGCGGCGTGGAGATGCAAAGCCTATCTGTAGGCAATTGGATATCTCCTTGCAGAAGGGTCCTGGGGAGTGTGCAGTCAAGCACCGTTGAAACTTACAACTTTCCTCTAGTTCTTTAATGATTCCTCTCTTCCTCCCCGACTACCATGACCCCAATTCTCCCTCACAAATCCGGCTAGACCAGAGCATGTACATGGATACAGATCAGAGCTGGAAACACAGGGAATCCAGGACAGATCAACCCCTCAGAACCACTGATGAGAGTAGCGATACCAGGAGTGGAAGGGGAAGGCATTAGGGAGAATGGGGGTGGGGAGGGACCGATCACAATGATTGACATATAACCCCCTCCCAGGGGGACGGACAACAGAAAAGTGGGTGAAGGGAAACATTGGTCAGTGTAAGACATGGAAAAATAATAATAATTTATAAATTATCAAGGGTTCAGGAGGGAGGGAGGGTGGGGGAGGGAGGGGGAAAATGAGAAGCTGATACCAAGGGCTCAAGTAGAAAGAAAATGTTTTGAAAACGATGATGTCAACAGATGTACAAATGTGCTTGACAGATGGATGGATAGATGTACTGTGATAAGAGTTGTACGAGCCCCAATAAAATGATAAAAAGAAAAGAAAAAGGCCCTGCAGTGGGTTTTAGCTGGAACTGCCCTGCCATGCCGACCACACAGGGACATGGGCCTTGGTTCTGTCCTGCTCGGAGGCAGTGAGTACAGTTTGGATTTGGGACCCGAGTGGAAACTGAGCTTTCCTGAAGCCGAGAGAGGGGTCCAGTAGCAACCCAGAGCTTCAAGCAGCATTCCCTGTTACACCCTCGCCCTGGGGGAACCTCCCGGTGGTGATGCTATCCCTGCCAGCCGGAGAGGTCTGGAGCAAGACTTCAGACCAAGGTGCCAGGGCTGGTGTCCTCTGACACACATCCACAGTATGTGAGCTGTAGCCCTCGTTCCTAAAGAGCACTTTGGTGGTCCTTCCTCTGAGACAGGTGTGTTTGTTTTTCTTGTGGTCCATGGTGCTTCTAATATGCTTCCCCAGCACTGTGCGTCAAAGGCATTGAGTCTCCCTCAGTCTTCCTATTCATTGTCCACCTGCCACATACAGGTGTGGTGATGGAAACCGCTGTGGCTTGGGCTCGGGCGCAGCTTAGTCCTCAAAGTGATTCCTTTGCTCTTTCAGCACTTTGGAGAGGGCTGGCAAAGCAGAGTCACCCTGTGTGAGCCCGGGTAGACTAGAGAAACAAATCCAGAGCAATTCATCTGTGTATAAGAAAGAGCTTTATATACAAGAGCAATTTAATATTGAGAAAACATCCCAGCCCAGTCCAGATCAACTTCATAAGTCCAATATTAACCCATATGTCCGGTACCAATCTATAGATTCCTCTTCAGACTCATGAAACACATGCAGTGATGCCGAATACAGGAAGATCACAGGTCAGTGGGTGGGAAGTCTTGTGGATCCAGTGGAGGTGGAAGCATCTCAGCCCTGGCATGGATTTCCACATGGCTCCTCCAGCTTTAAGGCTCTAGCTTAGCTCCATGTGTTGTCATCAGGAATGCCTCACAGGGAGTGAGTTTGTGTCCCACCTCCAGCAAACTGTCTCCTTAGCCACTCTAATTGAGGAGCTGCGACCTGATTGACAGGCTAACCTCCACCCCTTCACTCTTAATAGTCTCAAATTGACAACAGATGATGTAACTACCACATTGGCATTTGGTTTCTTGACTGCAGCATCCGTGAGCATTGGATGTGCTAGAGCCTCATTCTTTTCCAGGTCAGACATCCACCACATTGGCTCTGCCACATGGCCTCAAGGGGGATCACCAGTAGCCCTGCGTGTTCCTGGGCTCGCATGTGGAGCTTCCCCTGACCTCTTCAAGCTGTATGTGTCTCTCTGTGCTTGTTGTCCTCAGAAGGGACCGGGTGTGGGACCGGCCTGACAATGGGGATAGAGCTCATGAACATAAAATATAGAATTCTCGTTCCAGACAGGTGCACGTCCACAGTGTACTTGTCCGGGTAGACTAGAGAAACAAATCCAGGCAGACTCATGTGTATAAGAAGGAGCTTTATAGACAAGAGCAGTTGAATATTGAGAAAACATCCCAGTCCAGATCAAGTCCATAAGTCTGGCATTAGCCCGTATGGCCGATACGAATCTATCAAGTTGTTGTCAGATTCACGAACACATGCAATGATGCTGAATGCAGCAAGTTCACAGGCCAGTGGGTGGGAAATCTTGTGGATCCAGTGGTATTGTAAACATCTCAGTGCTGGCAGGGCTCTCCGCATGGCTTCTCCAGCTCCAGAGGTCTGGCTCCTTCAGTCTCTCTCCATGTGTCTTGTCAGCAGGAATTCCTCACCGGAAGTGAGCATGTGCCCCGCCTCCAGCAAGCTATTTATCTCCTTAGCATCTCCAAGTGAGGTCATCAAGCTACTACCTGATTGACAGGCTAGACTCCACCCCTTCACTCTGAATCCTCAAATTGACACCAGATTATGTAACTACCACACACAGGTACAGGAGTTAGGATGTCACCTCCTCTTTTGGGGGGGCAAACAAAGTTAAATCCACATAAGCTTCTTGGGTGATGCCAATGGTTAACCCATTCAGCTACTAACCAACAGGTCACAATTTCAAACCCACTCAAAGGCACCTTGGAAGAAAGTCCTGGTGATCTCCATCCAACGAAACAGCTCTTTTAAAAAAAATCATTTTATTGGGGGCTCTTACCACAACCCATCCATCCATCCATTGTGTCAAGCACATTTATATCTATGTTGCCATCATCATTTCCAAACCATTTTCTTCCTACTTGAGCCCTTGGTATCAGCTCATTTCCTGACCTCCCCCATCCTCCCTCTCTCATGAACCCTTGATAATATATTTTTTTTTTCATGTCTTATACTAACCGCTGTCTCCCTTCACCTACTTTTCTGTTGTCCGTCCCCCTGGGAGGTGTTATATGTTGATCATTATGATCAGTTTCCCCTTTCTTCCCCCACCTTCCCTTCCCCCTCCTGGTATCACTACTCACCTTCCTGGTCCTGAGGGGTTTATCTGTCCTAGACTCCCTGTGTTGAGAGCTCTTATCTTTACCAGTGTATAAGCTCTGGTCGAGCTGGATTTGCAAGGTAGAATTGGCGTCATAATAGTGGGAGGGAGGGAGGAAGCATTAAAGAGCTAGAGGAAAGTTGTATGTTTCATCGGTGCTATACTGCACCCTGACTGTCTCGGCTCACAAAGTAGCTCTTGTAGGCCCAACAGAGCACATGGGGTTGCATGAGTCGGACATGATATCAACTGAGGTTGTTGTGCTGGCTTTGATCAACCACTAGAACCAGCCTTTAGCCCTGTTGCTTCTGTCTGTTCTGCGTGGTTGGGAGGGTGGAAGGCATGTCTCTGGAGAGAGGTTTGATTCTGGTTTCTCCTTGTTTCAGGGCTGAGCCAGTTCTATCCCGAATCCAGGAAAACAGGAAGCGAGTGATCCTCCCCTCCATCGACAACATCAAGCAGGACAACTTCGAGGTGCAGCGGTATGAGAACTCGGCCCACGGGTACAGCTGGGAGCTGTGGTGCATGTACATCAGCCCCCCGAAAGACTGGTGGGACGCCGGGGACCCGTCGCTCCCCATCAGGTCTGTAGTAAGAGGGCTTCCGGTTGGTCCAGCCCCACCCTTGTGGGGCTGCTGGGGAGAGATTGGGAGCGGGTCAGGAGCAGTGATGGGCAGCTCAGTTACTGCGAATGGATGCCAGAGGTTCGTGGCTTTCTTGTCAAAGGTGGAGATGGCCTGTTGGTTTCTGAGCTGGCGATTTCAGATGCAGCCTTTAGCCACAAGCAACCGTGAATGTTTAAAGTTAATAATCATATTCGTACTCTTTTGTTCTTCCTCGTAAATGGTAAACCGTGCCTGGAAGCTTGAAGCATCACGTTTGGGAGGTATCTGTTTCTGGGGCTGCCTCATCCTCCAAGCTTTGTCTTGACACCCTGCTTGCCACCTTTTGCCACTGGGATGCGTCAAACCGCAATGTCATCGCGTCAGTTCTGACTCAGGGGCCCTATCGGACAGGGTAGGACTGCCCTGGTGGGTTTCTGAGACGGTAATGCTCTACATGACTAGAACGGCTGGTGCTTTTGAATGGCTGACCTTGGAGTTGTTAGCAGCCCAAGACATAACCCTCTGTGGCACCTGGGCTCCACACAAAACTGGTAAAACCCACTGCCACCAAGTTGATGCCACACCTGGCCATGATTCCGGGACACGTATGAAAACAAAGGACCACGACCCATTGATTCCTCCACCTCGTGGCAACCCCGAGTGTGTTAGAGCGGAACTGGGCCCCCTGGGGTTGTCAATGGTTGCATTGTGGGAAGGAGATCACAGGCCTTTCTTCCGAGGCACCTCAGGGTGAATTTGAACCGCCAGCCTTTCGGTTTGCAGCTGAGCTCTCCTAGAGAAGGAACAGTAACAGGAGGCCCCTTGGGACGGGCGCAGGATGTCCCTTTGCACACCAATCGGGATGCTGAAACATAAAGCTTGCTGGACTGAAACCTTGACCAAACTGAGTTGATTTCAACCTGTAGTGACCCTATAGGGCAGGATAGAACTGTCCTCTTGGGTTTCTGAGATGGTAACTCTTTATGGGATCAGACAGCCTCATCGCTCGCCCATAGAGTGGCTCATAGTTTTGAACTGCCAACCCTGTGGTTAGCATCCCAATGCCTAACCCAGGTTATCTATGCCTATAAAGATCTGAAACCCCAGCAGCACTCTGTCCTGTCCTGTAGCATCGATGCTGTGGGTTCAGAGGAGACTCGATGGCAGTGCGTTTGGCTTTGAGTTATGCGTCCTCCCAGATGTCCAGGGGAGGCTGACCTGCCCCAACAGGTCACCGGGAGCTGACAACAGGAGGCACTGACAACAAAGAGAGAGGGGAGGTTGCACTGCAGGTCTTTGGGGTGCCCGGGCAGCATCTGTAATTGCTGTCTCTGCACAGCACGTGGGGCTCGGAGGAGCAGATAGTCCGCTTGTACCTGACGAGTGATGGTCCCATTAACAGGCGATTAATAGGCACTTTGAAAAGGCTCAAGAAAATCGAGCTATGATCCCGAGCCGAGAACGCCTCCCGCATCTCTCATGTGCAAAATAGAATCAAACTCCGATGATCACATTAATGTGTCATAACTAGGAAGTACTTAATTGGCTAGTAGTCGATGGAGATAGGTAATTGCTGGGAGGTCTGTTTATAGCCCTACTGATAGCATGAAAGCAGATGCAGTATGGTTTCTGGAAACTTCAGGAGGTGGAAGCTCACCCCTGCCCCCTCCCCTCCATGGAAGCTCATTCCGCACACCCATCCCCTCTACCCTGGGATGCCCATACATTACTAGTTCAGGTTTTATGGGAAAGGGCAGGGCCAACAACAATTCCTCCACCTTCCAGAGCACACTGTGTTTAGATGAGTCTTTAGGGCCTGAGACTTCCTGAGCAGGCAAAGTGTGATGGGAGATTGTTGTGTGGGTGGCTCTAAGCCATAGAAGCTTGAGTGGAATTTGAAGATGGAACCCCCCTCTCCCTCGCTGCTGCTCTGGCTCTTGGTTGAGGTTGACAAGAGGGGTCCCAGCTCTTGTCGCACCTTCGAAGAGGTACTCTTCAAGCCCCAATGTCTCTCCAAAGCGATGCCATCTCCTGTGCCAATCACCAGCCTATCATTAGTCCCAGGGGCTAAAACTGTGAGATCAAGGACTTCTCGGATGATCTGATGAAAAAACCACCAGCCAGGGTCCCCCCTGTAAACGAACGCGGGATTTGCTCAGAGCAAGGATGACGAAGATGGTACCCTGTCATCCTGTGGTGCCATGTGGCACTGTGGTGCCCGTGAGTTTAGGCAGCTGAGGACAGCCACACTCACCCCTCTTCAGTTGTTGACAGTTGACTGGAAATAGGGAAGTATAGGAAAGGCTTTTTATGTTCCTTCCGAAATCATAAAGCAGCTAGAATAGGGTTTCTTAAAATGTTGGGTCAGGCAGGTTCCGCTCTGCCGACCTGGTGATGAAACGTTGGTTCCGCCACCGCGTGTGACAGAACGAAACACTCCGGGGTCCTGCGCCAGCCCTGGCATCGCTCTTACTCTGGAGCCCAGGGCTGCAGCCGCTGTGTCCGTCCATCTTGTCCAGGGCCTTCCTCTTCTTCGGTGCCCTCTACTTTACCAAGCACGGTGTCCTTCTCTCCTGATCACACGTCCAAAGTACGAGGGACCAAGTCTCTCCATCCTGGCCTCTAAGGAGCATCCCGGCTGTTTGTCTTCCGAGACAGATTTGTCGTTCCTTTGGCAGTCCACGCTGCTTTCAGGGTTCCTCGCCAGCACCGTAGTCCAAACGCATCGATTGCACTTAGGTGTCGGCGATGGGCCATTTACCGCGGGATGCTGTCAGAGGACTGGCTGAAACCAGAGTGGGGCTTCTTCTGTGAGGTGCCAGCAGTGCCTCCTGCCTGGCATTGAGCCCACTGCCATCGAGTCGGTGTCGGCAGGGTAGATGCCCCCGCCACTTTCCCAGGCTGTCAATCCTGACGGGAACCCAAAGCTTCGTCTTCCTCCCTCCGAGCGGCTGGTGGGTCCACACTGCTGACCTTGGGATTGGCAGCTCAGCACAGAACCAACTGTACCGTCAGGGAGTGTGAGGTGGCCTGTAATTAACGACATTACTCATTAATAACTGATGTGAGATGATGATTAACAATTAGCCAGCCTTCCCCCAACATATAATTTGATCATAAATTATGAGTCACGGAAGCCACGGGCGTGCCATGGACTCTTTTGGGTGTGAGGGCTTTTTGGAAACAGCAGCAGAGGTCTCAGGGTGCGTGCACAAATGTACTTCACGGGAGATGGTCTGCTGCCCGCCCCACACTTCCCTGGAGAAATAGGACCAGCTCTCGCAGGAGGACAGTTGAAAGTGAAGAATAGGGATTTGGGGGGACTGTGAGACCAGAGCCTGCTTTCCCTCTGCATCAGCAACTGTCTTTTAGGAACCAGCTGGGCACTCAGCCCCAGCCAGCGCCACCGGAGGCAGGGGGGTAAATTACAGCATTGCTTGTCCCTAGGGAGACTCAGGCCTTGTGCTGTGGACAGCTCCTCAGCCTGGGTAGGTGGCGGGAGTCCACAGGAGGAAGGAAGGCAGTCGTGTGAATTTAACGGACAGGGAAACTCTTACCCACCCTATGGGCGTCGTCATCGTGTTGTGAGGTGCAGCCGGGCTGATTTTTAAACTCCCAGTGGCCCCGGAGGACAGAAGAGAACTCCCTCAGAGGGTTTTCTAGGCAGTTCAAAACCACCAGCCACGCCACGGGAGAAAGATGGAGCTCTCTACTCCAGGAAAGAGTCAGTCTTGGAAACGCACAGGGGCTCTCTGCCCTGTCCTGTAGGGTCACCATGAGTCAGCATTGAATAGAAGGCACCAAATATAATACGATCCCAGGGATAACCCCCACAGGACAGAGCAGAACCGCCTTTGAGACACTGAATCTTCATGGGACAGGATAGCCTTATTTTTCTCTTGTCCGGTGGCTGGCAGGCTCAAACTGCCAACCGCAGGATTAGCTCCGTGGGTAACCTACTGCACCACAATAGCCTTTGCAGTGCTCAACGGGCTCCGTTGCTGTCCTTAATGCTGTATCAACACAGACTCTTTTACTCCTCACGATCGTCTTAAAAGCTCTCGCGTTATCCTTTTCTTAGAGAGGGGCTCCTGGGGGCCGGGTGGGGGCGTGGGGAGGCACACGGACGTTAAGTGCCATACTCAGGGTCACACACGGCACTGGTGGTAGAGTTGGGTGGGTGGGATTCAGACTCAGGCCAGGTCCAGAGCATGTCCTTCCAAACCACGCTGTGCTGCCGCTTCCAAGAGACTTGCTGGGCTTTGCAAGTTGAAGGGGCAGCACATTGGACACAGGGGCATTCAGGGGAGAGCTGTGTGCGTGCGTTTGTTGGGGGCCCTGGGACCGTGTTCAGGTGTAATGACTCACTGGAAGGGTTGATTCCACCCTCCCCATTGCCAGCAAGCCATCTCACTCACAGCGGCCCTGGGTCCATAGAGCTGTGTTCCCATCAGGTGTCGGATGACCTCTTTCCTGGAGGGTAATTGCCGGGCCTGTCTTCACAGGCAGCTCTGGGTGGAATCAGACCTTCAACCTTTCACCTAACGGGCACCCATGTGAAAGTCTGTAACACCCACGGGACTCAAAGAAGCTCCCACGCTGACTGTTAGGACAGTTAACGTTTTAAACGAAGAGAGCGAGCGAGGAGGGTCACAGTCTTAAGTCCCCACCCCAGCCCCGAGTCCTTACCCATGAGAGAAGCAAGGGGTTCTCGCCTTCTGTCCCCACCCTCCGGTCATCCTGTGGCAGTGCGATGGTCTACTCCACTTCACCTCCAACTGGGTTCCCGCCACCAGGTAGGCCACTCCGCTCCCGCTCCACTCACTGTGAATGAATATGTAATCTTCTCTCTCGTGAGGATTAGCCAAGAGGGAAAAGTGTATGTTTCCAGCAGTAGACAATCTGCATAACAAAGCTCTGGTGAACTCTCTGACCAACCGCCTGGGCCCGAGGTGACCTGGATCATCAAATAGCGTGGT